ATGGTCACTCGTTGACACACATCATGGGATGCCTCAAGTTACCACCGATTCTAGCTATCAGTTGACCTCTGCATGTAACACACTGCACAAAATACAGGCATACAGTTCGTACTTGAGTGAGTGAGTGAGTGAGTGAGTGAGAGGTTTAACGCTACTTTTAACAGTATTCCAGTTATATCACAGCGTGTCAGCTTATTGTAGGAGGAAAGCCGAAGTGATGCAGGGTTAGATGTTTGATCTACGCAACTGGGATACGATGACATGCATCAACCGAGTCCATGAACCTGACCACTCAATCCTGTTAGTCGCCTCTTATGACAAGCATAGTTGCATGTTACAGCAAGCAGGGGTTGTTGAACACATCATGGAACGCCTCAAGTTACCACCGATTCTAGCGATCAGTCAACCTCTGCATGTAACACTGCACAAAATACAGGCATACAGTTCTTACTTGGCTTAAGTGAGTGAGTGAGTGAGCGAGTGAGGTTTAACATCGCTTCTAACAGTATTCACGTTATATCACGGTGTGTCAGCTTAATGTGGGAGGAAAGCCCCAAGTGATGCAGGTCTAGGACGTTTACCACTTCGGTGCAACCCACGAGCACGGGTATGGTGCTGCGAACTGGGATTCGAACTCACAATCATAGGTTTCTGGCGGCCCAAGGGACGACTGGGCCACCCGTGCCCCCAGAAATTGAAGGAAGAGAACCTTAGTCACCAGGTGAAGGTTGAAACTGGGTGAGTACATTATATGTTAGACCAACGCTTAGACTCCGAAAAAGTAGTCCTTGGGAGATGGCAGTTTCTTGTGGAAAATCTAGACTTGTAACATTGAGGACTACAGCATTGTAATATGGTCTGGATGCGGGAAATAATATGGTTCAGAGTGTTTGAGACAGACTATTAATTCCGGCTCAAGACTCCACTAACATTTATGATGTCTAAAAAATGCTACACTTCAGATTTCCTGGTCTGGCTCTGCCTACCAAGAGAACATTGGTGACAATAATTTGGGAGTCACTGTCAGACAGACCACCATGATGACACACAAGATGGCAACAATCTCGGCATCCAACCGGCCTGGCTCAGACAATCAGGGACACTCTCAAGGGGGATAATCCAACTTATCAAGAAACATCATGCTCATTTCAGACTGGTTATTATTATCTCGTATAACTACCAGGAAAAAACTATAATTACCATAAACCAATTCCAACAGTTTCAATTAACTGAGACTTTGCAGACAATGGTCGTGATAAAAGCTGTCAGTGTTAATGCCCTAGAAGGGAAACTGAGTATAGGATTTATATACTGTACATGATGTACCTAGGTGTGATAAGCAAGCACCCTAACCACAGGGCTTTCCTACCATCCTGTTAATATCAGGTCACAAATCAGGTGAGGTGGAGCAGCGTTAGTCGTAGGAGAGGTGCCTGTGTTCGGCATCCTGACGCCTGAGAGTTTCTAGGGCTTCGGTCCCCCCACACTTAATCACATGTGATGTCTTCCTCGGCAAGTGACTTTGTTCAAAATATGCCTCTGTTCACCCTAAGAAACTGAGTAGAGCTATAATCACAGTGTTAACCTTCCAGAACAGACAAGGCATCTCAGGTTCTATACTCCCCAGGGAGTTGAGAATGAAAACCGAGTGCACGCTTATCCACAGACGAACATTTAGTCCCAGAAATAAAGTTATCTCGATAAAAATATATATCCACAAAAAAAAATCCAAATGGAGCCCAGAACATTGCTTACTTTCAGGAGGCCATCTAGACTTGCCAAATCATTCTAGACTTGAGCTGGATTCATTTCTTAATTTATTCTCCAGGATCTGGGAGACACACCAACTGATCCATTGACCGGGGTAATGACATTAGCATTTGAGGATGCACCGAGTGTATGGAGGCTAAAGCAATATGACCACAGAATGGGAAATATACTGGTGGGGGAGTGAATGTCGTGTTATGCCACAGCCGGCAATATTCCGAAACCACAGTAGGGTCAATAGGCAGGACATCAATTTACGGACCAGGATGTACTTGCTGTGAAACAGAACATGTTTGTGAATGTTTTTTCGTGCATATCTAAGTCCATTCTGAAAGCCAATACAATAACATCTACCACTGTCTACAGGCAACACGGGATATAGTGAGTGAGTGAGTATGGTCTTACGCCGCTTTTAGCAATATTCCAGCAATATCACGGCGGGGGACACCAGAAATGGGCTTCACACATAGCACCCATGTCGGGAATCGAACCCGGGTCTTCGGCGTGACGAGCGAACGCTTTAACCACTAGGCTACCCGACCGCCCCTACACGGGATATAACAGACATAACACATACTACTTGATAACAACAAATGAGTGGTAATAACAGTCATTAGATATAATGAAGGGACTGTGAACATGGTGAATGTACATAATAACACATATTAAGCCTGTTCTTGCTCCACCCCATGTAAATGTTCAAAGTGCCTTGCTAGTGTATTTACGGTAATTGAGTGCTGATTGCTCACTTAATTTGTAACCCAGCTGAGGGTCGACGACCTGATCATCAGGGTACAAGGGTAACAAATTAAGGAGGACCCTGGACCTGTTTGTATTCCACTGCTGTTTTAGTCTAACATGTCTAATCGAGGGACTTCCTCAATCTTGATGGTTTTAACGCACAGGTTTAGACAATAACCCCTGGGGTTTCAGTCATATATTGATATTGTTAGACATTTAGCAATGTTTGTACTCTATGCAATCGATAAAGAAACAAAAGTGTGCACATGTAATTTAAAGACTGCTAGATAGTTGGCTGCATTGTAACTGATGCTGTATGGGCTAATGGCCTACATCCATGCAGAATGATGATGATGATGATGATGATGATGACGAATGATGATGATGATGATGATGAGTGAGTGAGTTTGGTTTTACGCCGCTTTTAGCAATATTCCAGCAATATCACGGCGGGGGACACTAGAAATGGGCTTCACACAATGTACTCATGTCGGGAATCGAACCCGGGTCTTCGGCGTGACGAGCGAACGCTTTAACCACTAGGCTACCCGACCGCCCCAATGATGATGATGATGATGATGACACTGCACTGGCGGATCCAGAGGGGAGTTCTGGGGGTGGCAATGTCCCTTTTTTACATCTGATGACATTTTGAATGCACATTGTCTACCTTGATTATAACATGCTGACTTGGTTGTTGAAGTAAAATTAATAATGGAATACGTAACATGTTTGTGATTTTGGGGGTAGGCTTTTGAGTGGACCTCATCCCCACCCCCACCCCCACCCCCACCCCACACACGATGAAGTTACAAATGGCCCAAGTGGAACCCTCTTTTTTAAAATCCAGGATCCGCCACTGCACTGTATCAGGGTAGTCTGTCATACAGCCCATGCAAGTCTCTGGGCTCCTTTTTATTTTATTTACATTAAGATAATTTAAAAACTGTTTTTTCTGTAAGATATGTTCATTACAGAAACTAGATGTTAATCTATGTATTGGGTTCCATGGTAACAAGTCAAAATGTCCACTGCCTACGTGTTGGAGGTTGGTGTGGTGTGTCATCACCCCGGTAAATAATTATGTTTACTCAGTGCATATCTAAACCATGGTAAAACATTAGTAAAGGTCCCCCCTCCCCCAAACGATTATCAAGCAATAAAGTCTCTAGAAGAACGAGGTCCAACAAGGAAACGTCTGTTTGATGATAAACCAATCTTTGCCGAAAAGATATTTACAGATTATTTGTCTATATGTACCCATTTATTATATACATATCACTGGAAACAAACACAACACAGAGATCTGCATGGATTCATCAGCGGATGCTGATAACTATCATATCATAATCACATCAGAAGGGCACGGTTATCTGTATATAACACCTTTAACCCACTGCTCCAAAACATTCCCATGACACAGAGCATCACTTGTATTCAAATCATGTTTGTTTGTTTGCTGTTTAACACCGCACTTAGCAATATTCCACCTATATGACGGCGACCTGTATATAATCGAGTCTGGACAAGACAATCCAGTGATTAATATTATGAGCATTAATCCACGCAATTGGGATCGATGACATGCATCAACCAAGTCAGTGAGCCTGACCACCCGATCCTGTTAGTCGCCTCTTACGACAAGCATAGTCGCCTTTTACGGCAAGCATGGGCTGCTGAAGACCTATTTTACCCCGGATCTTCGCAGGTCTCAAATCAAGTAAACACACATCATCGGTGATGAAAGTTGGGTAATACTGGTGCTGGTGAACTATTAATTACTCCAATAATGTCTATGCTCGGTTGCCATAGTTTTCATGAAATGAAACAAATCTTGCAACTTATTTTCCTTAAAATAAATCAGACACAAATCATTCAACAGTAATAAGGAAAATATGACACTCCGTGCTGAAAGAGCTGGTGAAATTTTCAAATGTGCACATTGTCTCATTATAATCAAATTCAATACTTAATGTGTAATAACACTAATTATTCTGCAAATAGTTGAACAAACATATACATTCCTGGTATATATGAAGTGATAATGCTCACACAGTATTGTCAATAATATCTAGTTCTAACCATCACGGAGGCTGCATCACCTGTCAACACGTTCTATCGGCTGCATCACCAACAACATATATATATTTGTTGTAATCATGAAATCAAGTGTGTTACAGAAGTACAATCAAAACAACAGCAACAACACGTACAACAGCACAACTGCGCTAAATCGACAATACACACTGAACAGTTGATGATACAGTGGCAGGTTAGGAATGGAATAATGTATCGTGTATTGACATCAGAGTCGGCGAATAACATTATGATGAAGCTGAACGCGGTCGCCATCCACACACACGTTCCGGGGACTAGCGAGACAACATTGTCTCACACTGCACATCCAAATTACACGTTGAAACTGGCACATTTAGTATTTGTTGGATAGCAGGGTTGGAATTGCTCAGAATTTGTCAAGATCAATTTCTTACCGTGTTCCTTGTTTTTTCTGAGGGTCGTCTGTCGAGGACTCCATGGGCCCATTCTGTCCTGCGTTTGATGCCATCTAAAGATATTATAAAATCTTCCTGCTCCCACAGTAGTTGAACTCACTCCTCAACAGGGTGCCGGCACGTAAGACCTGGTTAAAAGCTCAATTATGTCAAATGAGAAATTCTGTCGCTACCGGAATGGCCGATCTTCAGCACAAATGGTGATGCAAATTATCCAAGAAAATCTATCGCTTGCCGACGTTATATTTGCACGCACACAGCACCGCTACCTCCATAGAATATACAAATCCAAATGTAAGTGGTATTTACGAAATTCAAGTAAACAGACACAAAAAACGGCGTGTTTATATCGCACAACGACAAGCCAGCACCATAGTCGATGTCATGGCGGATCGGGTTGAGCTCAATTTAGCTCGCCAAAAATTCTGTCAGTGTGTAGGGCGATAGCACTCTTGCTCTTTCCGTTTCGCTGCGATTACACACGACTAAAAATAATATCTGTGTCTAATCACCCGGATCAAGGGATGCACTTCTTTCCACCGACCACTAAGCCTAAATTATGTCAGCAACAATGTCATAATACACTAGCTCGTGCGATGGTTCTGTTGTTAATAGCGAGGTCATGTGACTGACCTCCATACAATCTGAATGACGTCAAGGGGTTTCCTCGCAAGCGTGCTCCACGAGCTGTCGGGATTCCCCCAACCTATTTTGGTTTGTCTCGCGCACCTGGGCGAACCAATAATGGGATTCCCTTTCACTTTAAAGTTCATTTTATAAACCGGGTTACTTCCTCATTGTCTTTAGAATCAAACCGGAAAACAAGGTTTAAATGACACAAGCAGTTTTCTTTCCTCAGAAGTAAATATATCTTCGTCATTGGAAGAGGGAAGTTTATTGGCAAGGTTTTAATATATCGGTCAAACTAGTGTCAACTGGTAGCTTGATATCAAGTACCGTTTGACCTTATGCATAAATTTCAATTTATTTCATTTGAAAACACTAACAGTTATCTTTTGGGATATTGACGCATGTGGCTGCTATTTTCGTTAATCATATTTCAAAATATATAATTAATGTTACACGAGGATGTTATTTTTGGTCGGTGTATTTTAGGATTTCTAATTGTTTCATTCAGCTGTTGTTAGAACTATGATTAATATATTTGGTATTCTGTTTTCCCCGAACACATGCTGCATGTTAGACTAACACTAAGTCTTTGAAAACTTTTTTCTTTAAATAATTGTTTGTTTTTCAAAAGAACCTTTGTCCCTCTGCTGTTTTCATGGAAACTAGACTTGGTTTAGTTTGATCTAGACTTGCCTAGGCTTTTAGTAAAAAAAATAAAATAATATATTTATGCATGTATTCTGAGTGAGTTAGTGAGTCCCAGCCTGGTTCAACAACCCGATACTTTTTCACAGTCCCTGAACCATTTTAGTTTCCTTCCGCCAACCCCTTACTGTAATGCTACAGTCCTAAATGAAGCAAGTCTAGATTTTCCACAGGTCCAGGTTCTGAATCTCCTATAACTGGGGCTCCTTTTCAGATGGAAAGGATTTATTTGTTTCTCTGTAAATAAGTTATATATTTTCAAAGCCTAAGCGTTAGTTTATCTATATATTTATATATCGAAACACGTCGAAACACAAGTTAATTTATTGTATTATCAAAAGGGTTAGATACATCTGTGACATAGACACATATTTCTTATGGTTTTATTCCTGTTAAAACCCCGAACAAGTGGATAACTCACCAACTCGTATGTCACTCCAGTTCACTTAAAAAGATTGGGAACCCAATTTTCTGTTGTCCCCAATGTGAGTGAGTGAGTGAGTTGGTTTAACGCCGCTTTTAACAATATTCCAGTTATATCGCGGCGTGTCAGCTTCATGTGGGAGGAAAGCCCGAAGTGATGCAGGTCTCAGACGTTTACCACTTCGGTGAAACCCACGAGCACGGGTATGGTGCTGACAAACCTAGAAACATAATTGGGGCGAACCGGGATTCGAACCCACAATCATAGGTTTCTGGCATGCCCAAGGGACGCAACTCTGCACAGCGAATCGCGGCGCCTTGGACGACTGGGCAACCCGTGCCCCCTTGTCCCCAATGTGATGTGTTTGGAACATTTCTAAAAAGCGAAGGTTTAGCGGCGGTCTAGTAGCGGTCTTGTTGCGGTCTAGCGGAGATCTAGCGGAGGTCTAGTGGCGGTCTAGCGGGTCTTGTGGCAGTCTAGCGGAGGTCTTGTGGAGGTCTAGCGTCGGTCTACAGGTCCGGTCTAGCGGAGGTTTAGCGGCGGTCTAGAGGTGGTCTAGCGAAAGTCTGGCAGCTGGCAAGCGACGGTCTGGTGGCGATCTTGTGACGGGCATGTGGCGGTCTAGCGGAGATCAAGCGAGGGTCTAATGGCCGCCTAGAGGCGGTCTAGAGGCGGTCTAGCGAAAGTCTGGTCGCAGTCAAGCTGCGGTCTAGTGGCGGTCTAACGGAGATCTAGCGGAAGTATAGTGGGGTCTAGTGGCGGTCTAGCGGAGGTCTGGCGGAGGTCTAGTGGGGTCTAGTGGCGGTATAGCGGAAGTCTGGCGGAGGTCTAGTGGGGTCTTGTGGCGGTCTAACGGAGATCTAGCGGAGGTCTAGTGGGGTCTTGTGGCGGTCTAACGGAGATCTAGCGGAGGTCTGGCGGATGTCTAGTGGCGGTATAGCGGAAGTCTAGAGACGGTCTAGCGAAAGTCTGGCGGCGGTCAAGCTCCGATCTAGAGGCGGTCTAACGGAGATCTAGCGGAGGTCTAGTGGGGTCTAGTGGTGGTCTAGCGGCGATCTGGCGGAGGTCTAGTGGCGGTATAGCGGATGTCTAGTGGCGGGTTAGCTGGCGGTCAAGCGAAAGTCTGGCGGTGGTCTAGCGGAGGTCTAGAGGCGGTCTAGTGGAGAAGGCGTTTGCACGGAGAATGAAAGGTCCGTGGTTCGATCATATGGCCACCATGCCAAAATGCTCAGCAATACCCAATCGACTCACATCGACACACGTGACCAGTCAGTGCCATTGATCTGCACTGGGTTTTATACATTAGCAAACATGTACCCGGACAAATATAAACCATCCATTTATACATCTCAAAAAGCAAAGCTACACCTCCGATTTATCTTAAACAATGGCTACGTGTTACGGCACATTCGTGACCACTCGTGCCCCTCTCATTGCCATTTTTTCGACCGGGTTCCGTCTTAGCGCAAACGGGCATACCTAAAACAATTGTCAACTCGTTGCGTAATTGTTCACATTTATTTCCCCATATATTATATATATTTCAGATGCAATTTAAAGCACACCGGGACATGCTGAATTATACAGTATGATTGAACACATTTAACTGTGTCTTGGGTATATTTTTAGATGCAATACATATGTAAAATCAAAAATTGTTTCTGAGGGATTCTTTGACGAAGAACTTGAAATCATACGCGCATTCTGATTGGTTTGTCGTATATTCGCACATAACATTCATCCACAGGGGGACGAGTCTTCTTGCAGGTTACGGAAAGGGGCGAGTGGTGACGAATAGTTACGGCTGTATGCGTCCATTTTTCCTTACAGCGATATGTTGTCCCGTATACATGTATGCACTACACTTGTCATGCAATGTAAAGAGTTTGGCATTTTGGCATCAACAGCGAATACTTGTAGTATTCTGTAAACATATTGTAAAGGGGCCTATTTCTGATTTTCTACTGATATACATACATCTCAAGTGCGATATACTTTAGTATCGGGCGGGAGGTGTTTCGTATAGGATCGGGAAAGTCGAGCATTGCATACCACATAAACATATTGATATATCTCAATTTTTAAGACCCGTGAAGGTCCGGGGTAGAATAGGTCGTCAGCAACCCATGCTTGTCTTAAAAGGCGACTATGCTTGTCGTAAGAGGCGACTAACAGGGTCGGGTCCAGACTCGATTATTTAAAGATCGCGGTCATCTAGCTGGAATATTGGTGAGTGCGGTGTTACACGACAAACAAACACAAATCTCAATTTTGGCCCACCCAAGGTACAGACTGACATACAAGAATATACCGTTTTAAAAATGGGTTGTCGATTTTAGAGTTTCTTTCAGCGTATTCTCATTGCAATGTTGTTGGTTTTTTTTTTGGTTTTTTTAAATAACAAACAAAAAACAACATTGCTATGTATCTTAAATTTGTTATTTGAAATTTTCTGACTCCCTCCTTCATTGTTGCATAGGGTGTGAGTAAAAACTTGATTCTAGGGACTCTGATCCAAACAGCGTATACGTGATTAATATGTGAGTTCATTTGGATGTGGCCAGCTGTGACCCTTTGTTATGCTAGAACACGCCCATACGGCCCTTCCGGCTTTCTTCCAAGACTAAAGCGCCCCCATCTCATTAGAATCAGTTTGCTTGTCGTAAGAGGCGACTAACGAGATCGGGTGGTCAGGCTAGCTGACTTGGTTGATGCATGTCATCGTATCCTAATTACTCATGATATCAATCACTGGATTGTCTGGTCCAGACTCGATTGTTTACAGGCCGCCGTCATATAGCTGGAATATTGCCGAGTGCGGTGTTAAACAACAAACAAACAAACATTAGAATCAGAACCTTTACCGTGATATAAATAACCGCTTTGCGTGAAGATAGAGGTACCGTATTGGAGTAAAATATCTGATTTGAATGAGATTAAAATCTCCAGGACGTGGTATAACCGAAGTTAAGGGTGAAACGATACACCGATATTCCGATGCATCGCGATACTTGACCCAATATACGATACACGAAAAACGTGGGCCAATTTATCGATACGCCACGATACGGAACGCAAATCTCAAGTACAGCGTTTCCTCGGTATTGTGCCTTTCAATAAACCGCTAACTTGGTTATAGCGCGCGCTAACGCATGGCTCCCAAAAACGTACTTACATTTTTTTATAAGCTCAGGTTTTACACCGACAGATGGTTTTCCCCATCTCATAAAACATTATCAGCTGATCACCGCAAGCACATAACAATAGAAATACAAGTCAGCAAGTCCGAACTGAAGTACGCAATTCAATACCAATATTATAATATCTTGTTATTAAAACGTGTTCATTGTATATCTGGACTTGTGTTTGTAATATATTTTATTAATTTTATTCAAAATTTCATTTAATATTGTTTTCATTAAGTTATGTGAAATTGTGTGTGAAGAGATACAGCAACCACGGTCAGATTACCGCTTTTGACGCATTGAAACGAACTTTAGTTGCTAGAGAATGGATACATATATTAAAAATGCCATACTTTGACTCGTTAAAAGTCATATTTTCTGGCAATTTGGCTAATATATGTCAACATAACGTTATCGCAATCAAAATACATGTAATATTGTTCCATACGTAAAAATATCCTGCAACAGCAATCACCAGTACCAAAATGCTACACTTGTGGTTTTATAATTATAAATATATAATTATATAGTAAAAGCTGCAACTAAGGTAACACGATATTGGAATAAATTATTCCTGATAAAACAATAATTTCAGATACAATTTCTTCGACCATTGCATCAAAATTCTTTGAAGTTGGTTCACTGGTGGAGTACATTAATTATTTTCTGGTG